TTGGAAGTTACAAGAGCAATAAGAAATAAATATCTACATTTTACATGGACATTGAGTTTTTCAAGGAGTCATTCGTGAGTAAAGAAATCTCCTAATGGTAGTTTAATCATTAGACGAGATTGAAACGAACACATGTTTCTCAACCTTTTTCTCTGTAAGTAAGGGTTATAATTACTACATTAAAATTTTTGAAAACAACTGACCAACTAATTGTTTTTTTCTTTCTTTCTTTCATTTCACCTGATGCTCAACAGGGCGTAAGTATATATTGATTATGCAAAGTATGTTTATTCATTCCTTCATCTTGTTTGAGACCAATCTAATCTTATTTCAAGTAGGCCTGTGGTTTATATTTGCATGGAATCCAATTTGGATTCATATAAGTTTGAAATGCATTGATGTTATGTTGCGTTTGTAACCCATCGAACTGTTTGCGGGGAGCTGGTTGATATTGTTCGAGATAAGTAGGAAGTTACAAGAACAATAAGAAACAAGTAACGACATTTTACATAGATCTGGAGATTTTCTCGCGGATTATTTCGAGGGTGAACAAATCTTCCGATAGTAATTCAATCATAAGACGAGATTGGAACGAAAAGCAGCTTTCCTAGCTTTATCTCTTCGAATATAGGCTAATGATTACAACATATATTTACGCTAAAACCTTTAGCAAAAGCTGACTGACTAACTGTTCTTTTCTCTCTTTCTTATTACCTGATGCTCAACAGACCGTAAGTATCGATTTATTTTGTGCTATGTATATTTGTTCATTCCGCAACCTTGTTAGGTCAATTTTATCTTTGTTTTTTTTTATTTTTTTTTTTTATTTTAAATAAGCCTCTGATTAATTAGTATTTGCATAGAATTCAATTTGGATGCATAAAGTTTAAAATACATTGATCTTACGCTGGTTAGTGGATTGTAAAATTACTTTCGGGGAGTTAAATAAAATATATTGCTCGAGACAAGTTGGAAGTTACAAAAACAATAAGAAACAAGTAAATACATTTTACATGGATATTGAGTTTGTCAAGTAGTCATTCGAGAGTAAACAAATCTCTTAATGGTAGTTTAATCATCAGACGAGATTGGAACGAACGCAACTTTCTCGACCTTTTCTTTGAGAGTAAAGGTAATAGTTACGACATTAAAATTTTTGAAAAACAATTGACTGACTAATTGCTGTTTTCTTTCTTTCGTTTCACCTGATGCTCAACAGGGGGTACGTATCTATTTACTGTGCTATGCATGTTTATCCATTCTTTGATCTTGTCTAAGACCAATCTAATCTTATTTCAAATAGGCTATTGGCTTTTATTTGCATAGTATCCAACTTGGATACATATATGTTTTAAATACATTGATATTTCGTTGCGTTAGTAACCCGTCGAATTATTTGCGGGGAGCTGAATAATATTGTTCGAAATAAGTTGGAAGTTACAAGAACAATAGGAAATGATGAATTACATTTTACACATTCAAAGGTTGCTTTATTCTGCTATTAAAAAAAACGGAAGCGACTATTAGACCAGTTTCCTTTTTTTTGAAATGTTTTTAAGTATTTTAGAATCTGATCAAAATGCCCATAGCTATCCACTATTCTCGAAAATTCTAGATCGATATGGAGGTTTTTCCTTTCTGTTCTCAATATAGAAAAGGAAAGGGTCTCAAAACGGATTCCTTTTAACGACTTTTAAGGTTTTTTTTTTTAATTGTAAAAATTTGATCACAACATACTTAACTATTCACCATTCTCAAAAAGTTATAGATATGGAGGTTTTTTACGGGGTCATCCGAGAGTAGTCAAATCTACTGATAGTCGCCAATTAAATAGACGAGATTGTAACCAACACAGCTTTCCTGCCATTTTTTTCTGGGAATAAAGGTTAATGATACCTATCCTGAAATAATTAAAAACATTTAAAGTACTAATTGTTGTTTTCTCTCTTTCATTACACCTGATGTTCAACAGAAAGTAAGCATCTATTTATTATACGAGATCAATGTACTCGTATTTCAAATAATCATTTGGTTA